AGGAAAGCACCATCGCGTGTCTTATCCTAGTCGGGTCAATAACAGAGCAGTTCAGCCATTTGATTTAGTTCATTCAGATGTATGGGGACCTTGTCCTATTATTTCAAAATTGGGATTCAAGTATTTTGTTAGTTTTGTGGATGATTATTCACGGGTTACTTGGATATATTTGTTGAAATCTCGTTCTGATGTGTTCTCAACTTTTAAAATATTTTTATCAGAAATACAAAATCAGTTCAAATCCACAATAAAAGTTTTGAGGTCTGATAATGCAAAGGAGTATTTAGAAACAAATTTTGCCAACTTCCTTGCTCAATCTGGTATTTTGCATCAGTCATCATGTGTTTACACTCCTCAACAAAATGGAGTGGCTGAAAGAAAAAATCGTCATCTCCTAGACATTGCTCGGACTTTATTATTTCATAGACAGGTACCTAAAGAATTTTGGGGTGATGCTATCCTTACTACTTGTTACTTAATTAACCGAATGCCGTCTTCTATCCTTCAACACAAAATTCCGTACACCCTGCTGTATCCTCACAATCTTCTGTTTCATTTACCTCCAAAAATTTTTGGGTCTTTGTGCTTTGTCCATAATTTTAATCCTCACAAATCTAAACTTGACCCTCGGTCCCATAAGGGTATCTTCCTTGGATATTCTCGTACCCAGAAAGGCTACCGGTGTTTCTGTCCGTCCCTCCAAAGATATATTTTATCTGCTGATGTTACATTTTTTGAACAACAAGCTGGCCATTCTTCATCTGTCTCTCCTAGCCACTCAGACTCTTATGACTATTTGACCCTTCAAGAAACTTTCCTTAAGCAGGCTGACTCTTTGGTTGACAATGGTACTGGTAAAGATCCACAGCGCCTTCAGGGACCTCTCCAGGTTTATACACGTCGTCCTGCTTCTGCTCTTGTGCCTCCGTCTACCTCAACATCAAATCCTGTTTCAAGTACTAGTGTACCCTTATCTTCGGGTTCTGATGATCTTCCTATTGCGTTGCGTAAGGGTAAAAGAACTTGTACTCAACATCCCCTCTCCAATTTTGTTTCTTACTCTCATCTTTCCTCTTCTTTTAAATCCTTTCTCTCTTCATTGGACTCACATTTGGTTCCCAAGAATGTGTCCGAAGCTCTATCTATACCAGGTTGGGTTCAAGCTATGAAGGATGAAATGGCTGCTTTGGAGCAGAATGATACTTGGGATTTGGTATCTCTCCCGCCCGACAAAAAGGCAGTTGGCTGCAAATGGGTTTATACTGTTAAACTCAATCCTGATGGAACTCTGGCACGCTTGAAGGCACGTTTGGTTGCAAAGGGTTTCTCTCAAGTCTATGGTCTTGATTATTTGGATACGTTCTCCCCTGTTGCTAAGATGACTTCAGTTCGTCTTCTCATTTCTATTGCTACTACCTATCACTGGCCTCTACATCAGCTTGATATTAAGAATGCATTTCTTAATGGTTTTCTTGATGAAGAAGTTTACATGGAGCAACCACCAGGCTTTGTTGCTCAGGGGGAGTCTCTGAAGGTCTGCAAGTTAAAGAAGTCTTTATATGGCCTAAAACAATCTCCGCGTGCCTGGTTCTGTCGCTTTGCATCTGCTGTCCAAGACTTTGGTCTCAGAAGATCAGAGAAAGATCATTCTGTCTTCTGGCGACTAAATAATGGCAAGCGAATCCTGCTCGTTGTATATGTGGATGATATTGTCATCACAGGGGATGATACAATTGGGATTAGCAGTTTGAAGAAACATCTACAAGAGCACTTCCAGACTAAGGATCTAGGGTCTCTCAAGTATTTTCTAGGTATAGAGGTGGCCAAGTCAAAGAAGGGTGTTCATTTGTCACAGAAAATATGTGCTCGATATGCTTTCAGAAGCTGGCATGTTAGGATGTAGAAGCATTGATTCTCCTATGGATGTAAATGTTAAGTTGTTACCAGATCAGGGGGAGCTTCTTGAGGATGTTGGACGATTTAGAAGGTTGGTGGGAAAATTGAATTATTTGACTGTAACTAGACCAGACATCACATTTGCGGTGAGTGTAGTCAGTCAGTTTTTATCAGCACCAAGAACTACTCATATGGATGCTGTATTAAGAATTCTGAGATATCTAAAGAAAGCTCCAGGGAAAGGTCTCCTCTACTCAGATCAAGAACTCACAAGAGTGGTAGGATTTTCAGATGCAGACTGGGCTGGGTGTCCTGTTGATAGGAGATCAACCACAGGTTATTGCATATTTGTTGGAGGAAATATTGTATCATGGAGGAGTAAGAAGCAGAGTGTAGTATCCCGTTCTAGTGCAGAATCAGAATACAGAGCAATGGCAATTGTAACACTGGAAATGGTTTGGATTCACGACTTGTTGACAGAAGTTGGTCTTTCCCCAGAATGTCCTATGAAACTATATGGTGACAATCAAGCAGCAATCCATATTGCTGAGAATCCTGTTTTCCATGAGAGGACGAAGCACATTGAAGTCGATTGTCATATTGTTCGAAGGAAGATTGTAGATAAAATCATCACTACAAGACATGTATCAACAGGTCATCAGTTAGCAGACATTCTAACAAAACCACTTGGGAAAACTCGGGTAGACTTTATTTGTGACAAGCTGGGCATGTATGATATATATGCTCCAGCTTGAGGGGGAGTGTTGAGAGATAATATGTAATCAGTAGTTTGGTTTAGTCCCACATCGGTTGTAGGACCAGGCTTGTATCCTAATGTGAAACTATATATAGACTAGAGTATGAGACCCTAATCTAATAACTCTTTCTTCTCCAAATCTCTGCTTACAACATTAACAGAAAACAAAGGAGGAAGCTGTAAGCAAAGGAGGAAGTTGGGTTATTGGGTACAAACCCGGTTCAAACTTAAACCCGAAAAGAAAATAAGAAGTTGGGCTAGGGTTCTGTCGCTCATTCTCCCGATACCCATTATTGCGGTCTCCACTCGGCAGCAGCAAGCCACGACGACAGGCGACGGCGACGGTGAGCTCAATCGGTGACTGCGAGCGGCGATCGACAGCAGCTAGTAGCCAGGTTCTTCTCCTTTCTTTTTTTCGATGTTTTCCAGTTTTTTTTCATCGCTTCTCCTTTTTTTTCGATGTTGTTTTCCAGTTTTCTTTCCTTTCTCCTCTTTTTCTTTTTTAAGGTCGGTGAGCTCAATCGGTCTTCTTTTTACTTTTTTGTACCGTAGGCATTTGAACAGTAAAAATTAAATATTAATTTGTTACTGTAGCTACTGTTAATTGTTAGATTTTCCAGATTCCTCTTTTCTTCTTTTTTTTGTACTGTTTTTCTGTACTGGCATATGCTCACAAATTTTCTATGTAAAATTAAATATTAATTTGTTACTGTAGCTACTGTTAATTGTTAGATTTTCCAGATTCCTCTTTTCTTTTTTTTTCTGTGCTGGCATATGCTCACGGAAAAAATTTTCTATGCAAAATTAAGTATTAATTTGTTACTGTAGCTGCTGTTAATTTGTTACTGTAGCTACCGAAAAAATATATATTTGTGAAACTTGAGTCCTTGACATTTTCTATGTAAAATTTCACAAATATATATATTTTCATGCATCTTGTATATTTTAAAAAATTTTGTGGTCTGGAGTGCGCCTCGCTTCGCTCGGGCGCGCGCATCGCATTGCGCCTTGCGCATGTGCGCGTAAACTGACTTTGCGCCCCGCATTGCGCCTCGCGCATTGAAAACACTGGTTTATCCAACTTCAGCGGTTCAACGGGACGTGCAGAAGGTGTTGAATGTAGAGACGAGATTTTTGTTCAAATTGACAAAAAACTTCTCATTATGGGTTTCTTCACTGGTACTTTGTGCTATTTACTTAGCTTTTCTGGTCTATTGCAGTATTAAGGCTTGTTGTCAGATAGTTTAGATGTTTGGTCTTGGATCTCCATCTAGGTTGCATGGGTACAAGTACTGGTACAGGTACATGTATGGGTACGGGACACATCAAATTTGTAAAAGGTATGGTATGGGGATACGACTATATATATGCATGTTACGTATATTTGTATGTATTAAAATTAATAATTTACATAAGATCATTATATAAAAAATACATGTGAAGTGTAGAATATACAACCAAGAAGTATATGTGGAGTTCTTAAATTAAAAATTAAATTATATAATTAACTATAGGCCCGAATAAACATATGCATATATTTAAGAAGTGTCCAAGAGGTTTGAGTGCGGGTTCTGTTGCGTGTCGGATATGGGTACGACTTCCTAATAGAAGTATCCAGGTAACATAGATCTCCATCCTTTGATTTCTTTGCTTTCCTGATTGTGCAACCAAGAAATCAGCTATCAGTGTCAATACTTTGTCAAAACATAGTCTAGAATTCATGAATCATGAAAAAAAATAGTTGAATACCATCAAGGCTACTTTGACTTATATGCTTTCCTAATCTAGCAACCAAGAGATCAGTTGACAGTATCGAGATTTCGTCAAAACTTGATCCCGGTTTCATCAATTATGATGGAAATTATGTGAATCATTCCTAATTAATTATTTTGTTTTTCAATAATTTCAATCAAGTTTTGCAGACTTTTAAACTTCCAGTACTAGAATCCTATAATCTTGTTTAACTGTTGATACTATTATCATTAATGTTTGTGAAACCAGTCAATAACCGTACTGAAATTTCAAACCTTGGTTTTGTGTTATACTGTCAGATAAAGTATGCCAGAAGTTCTGACAGATTCACTAGCACTTTATTACACAATATCTTTAAGTCAAAATGTACTAGAATCATGTGATCCGTAGAAAGTCTGCATTGTCAGGTGACAATCTTCATTATTCAAAATCAAAGTTTTATTAGAAGGTTCTCCTTTTGTCACTCGTTTACGGTGTCTTTTCTAAATTTCTTCATTCTTTATACTCGAAGCATTCTAGTTTAATGTACTTTTTGTCCTATACATGGCTGAATGATGTGATATAATATTTTCCTGCCTTTTTCTTCTACTTGCAGGAAATGAACAAATGATTTTAGCTGCAATAATCAGACATATGGACCACAAAAATGTTGTGCATGACCCTCGGATAAAATCTAACATAATTCAGATAGCCACTTGCTTGGTTCGACAACTGAGATCACCAGCTGGAATTGCTGAAATTGCTATAGTCAGTGACTTGTGTAGGCATTTGAGGAAAAGTCTACAGGCTACCATTGAATCAGCTGGGCCGCAAGATTCAAATTGCAATTACACACTTCAAAATTCTATTGAGGATTGCTTGCTAGAGATTGCTAAAGGAGTATGTCTTTTGCTTTCAAATAATACTTCTACTCAGAGTTACATTTTTTAATACTCCCCCCCCTTGCCGTCTTGCTTAAAGATGATAAGATGCCCTCTTCACTTGTCTTTCATTTAAACAATCAGCTTTGAATTTGCACTTTCTAGATTTGCAATGCATACCCTCTCTTTGATATGATGTCCATGACACTGGAGAAGCTGCCAGCTTCTACAATTGCTGCTAGGGCAACAATCGAATCTTTGCTGATTCTCTCTCACATCGTCTCCTTAACATCCGTCAGTTCACATCCACAGTTGGTGAGTCAAGTTTTTTTTAATATTTCATTACTGATGTTAAATATTTCTGCTTAAGATAATGCATTTTCATCTTCCTTATTTCTTAATAATGTAGAGTATGCATTATAGCCAAACTTGGATATTTCAAAAGGTACTAGTTTTTACCCAGTGCAATGCATGGGATTTAATATTTAAATATTATTCATAGGTCAAAGCCTTTTTTGAGATCAGAGAGAGCGAGTGAAAGGGGAAAGATTACTACCTTCTTTTACCTTTGTTCCCTTAGGGCCTGAATTTGCGCCCAGTGAAAGGTAGTTAAGTGAACATAATATAAGTTACGCCAAGGGAAGTTAAGGTAACATACAAAACTTGTTTGAAAATTTAGTAAGAAGAATCAATAGGAGTTTATTTCATCCCGTTTGGAAAGTTTAATAAATTGAAGGGAAGGTAAGAGAATATATGCAAATTTACATAAATAACCTTACATGTTATCAAATCATTTTATTTTTAGAAATTAGATATGCATCTATACCTATCTATTATCATCATCATTGTCGTCATCGTCGTTGTTTCCTTGTATATTATGGTTGGGAAATATTAGTAAATATTCACTACCAATATAAAACTCATAAGTATGAAAAATATTGGGAAATAGTTAGCATGAAAAATATTAGTAAATATTCACTACTAATATAGAAATCTTATAATCGCGTGCTCCTTTCAAAATATGATCACCAAATCCATACAAGTTTTACCATAAGCTACCAACAATTATAAAAAAATAAGTTTGTAATTGCCATACATAACCAAAATGTGGCAAAAACAACTTACAGAAAGAGGGACATAATCCATAATACCAAAGCATCACAACCCCACATAATCCACATTTGACAAAAACAACTCACAAAAAGAGGGACATAATCCATAATCTTAAGGCATCACAACTCCACATACACTAATCACACGTTTCTAATAAAATGGAGCACAAATTCATGCCAACTTTTGCCATAAGCAACACAAAATTAAACAAGTTTGCAATTGCCATACATAACCAAACTTTGGCAAAAAGAACTTACAAAAAGAAGAACATAATTCGTAATACCAAAGCATCACAACTCCACATAAGATTAGCACATGTTCCTAACAAATTGTGACCATAAATTCCATGCTAAGGTTTGCCGTAGGCAACATAAAGTTATATAAGTTTGCAATTGCCATGCATGACCAAAATTTGGCCAAAAAATGTATAAAAAGAGAGACTCGTAAAACCAAAGGCTCACACCCCCACAAGATGAGTAGATAGAAAGCTAATAACGTGGTGGCGGTAGCATAGATTCGGAAGGTAACATTATCATAAAAAGTTCCTTGCGCATTTTAAATGGGTATCCAAGCGAAGCATTTAGTTCTTTTGGATGCGTAGTTAGGAAAATATATTCATGTTTAATTTGATCACTCTCGACACCAAGCTCAAACAAATGATTCCAAACATTATTTCCTTTCATTAGAGTACGTCCAAGAGCTTGTATGTACTTATCACATATCATTTAGTTACCTCAACTATTCTGTGCATACCCTTTATCACCTTGTGATCAACAATAGAAGTTTCGTCTTTATACCTTTGAGTTTTCTTTTGTTTCTTTTGTGAATTTGTGGTTGACTTGGTTTCAGGGGTAATCACATGCATGTAGTGTTATCGAGGTGGTTGCATCGGGCATACCCCGAGTGCGGGGTGTTGCGGGCTAGAGCAAATGCACCCCACACCAGAGGTGGAGCGCTGCAGGCATGGGAGGCGCATGCCTGGCGTGCGCCTCATGTGCGCTTGGCGCCTGCGCTGGGGCGCACCACGCTGATTAAACATGGGCTTTGAGATGGGTTTCGTGTATAAAACCTGTTGTTTTCATAAACCTGTTTTGATTGAAGGGTTTCAACCCGCCTTCTGTCTCTCTCTTTCACGTTGCCTCATCCATCTCTCTTCTCTCTCTCACGTCGCCTGCTCCCTCCCAGACCCTGACTAGTCGACCGACGACGGCGACAATGATGATGACTGACGACCCCGACCAACGATGATGGCGATGACCATATCTCCGGCGAAATTAGTTTTTTTTTTGTTTTTGTTGTTTTTCTTTTATTTTTTGAAAATAATTACATATTTACATTATATAATACATCTAATTGTCTCTTTCTTGCTAGTTGCAACTCCATTCTACATCTTTTCATGTTTAACATGTAAAAAGAAAACAATAATTAGTAATTTAGTATAATTGTTGCTAATTATTACTTACTTCTCTAATTAGTAAATAACACTTTAAGAATGCTAACTAAAAAATTATGAACATGTAAATACGTAATTGTTATTTTCATTCTCCATCTTTTCATACTAACTAGCAAATAGCAATTAAGAACGCTAAGTGGAAAATCATGAACAATCATGTTTGTTAATCACTTAATTGTTACTTTAGAATACATATTTTATATTTTAAATAAAAATACATATTTCCTATTTGTTACTTTAATTGTTCCTTAATTGTTTCGTAGACTTATACTTATGTTGGATGTCAATCTTGCATTGTGATTTGTGAAAACTTATTTTGCTATGTTATGCATGCTAATTAAAACTCTTTAGTGATTTAGTAGGTGAAATAATATTTAGTTTTTTATGTGAAAATTTATAAATATGTTTATATGCTTGCTTGTCTTATGTTGGAAAATATTTATTTAAGGTGTGCGCCTCAATTCAGTGAGCCACGCGCGTTGTTGTGCGTCTTGCGCATGGTGCGCGTATTGCGCCTTGCGCCTCGAAAACACTGATCACATGGTCATCTTCTTTGTTATTTAGGTCCTCATCATTAGTCTCATCCAAAACTCATTGGTTGCACTGAAAACCCTCATTCTTTCTCTTATCTCAGCTGCGGTTTCAGTTAGTTCCCTAGTTGCTCTATCAGCTGTAAAAAACTCCAATAGCTTATTATAATTTCGAATAGCCTTGATCCTCCACTGTTGCTTCTAGATGGGCCAAAGATAGATTTGCATCCAAAATTACTACATGTTTATGTGAGAAGAACAAAACTAAAAAGCAACATAGTTGATCCTCCACTCCGTCGCTTCTAGATGGGCCAAATATATTAAATTTAGTTGAAACACTAAGTTTAATATTTCAACTATGCTGGAACATCCTAATAACTGATTTAGCATGGTTGAAACACAAATATTAGTGTTTCAACATTGTTGAAAGCCTACAACTCTGTTTCTAGTGGTTTAGCATTGCTGAAACATTAAAATTAGTGCTTCAGCTATACTGAAAAGGATCATAATAGTGTCTTAGCCATGTTGAAACTTTAGTGTTTCGACAATGTTAAAACAACGATATTAATATCAATATTTGACTGTAATATGTGACTTAATGGAGTAATACAAGAAACAATATTATGCAAGTTTACCTTAATTAGCCTAAAGCTCTTTTAAGTTTTTTTTCACTCCACATACTCATGTTTCGATTCCAATCAAAACCACTCCCCAACTATCTTAAACAAATCATAACAAACTGTCCATTTTGACTTCATGTAGTTCATACAATTCTTGACTTTTTCATGCCAAATGGCTTATTGGTAAAGCTTTCTTTGAGTCTGGCCACAATTTCATTATAATTTGTTGATGTAAAATTCCCATCAACTGGATTTCCTAGTACATGTTGATGCAAGTGGGCATAAATTAGTTTATCTTCTATATTAGGAGTACATATCGAGGTATTAACGTTCGTTTCCCTAAGAGAATCACCTTTCACATTCCTCCTTTTTGACATCCTTTAATTTACACAATATTGTTAGAAGGAATTAAAAAAATTATTCACAAATCAACTATTGAAATCAATATTTAAAAAAGTCTCCGTCTAGTTCGCTTAGGCGTACGCCTAGACCCAGACGTACGCCTAGGCCCAGGCGGTACCTATGCCGCTTAACTAGCGCATAGCGCCTGGCTATACCTAAATTGCTCACCTAGGTTCTGAAAGTGTTTAGGGGAGCACTGTCTGCTTTCATAGACTACATCCTATAAGCATTTGTCATGATTTTCTGTATTGTAGTCTCTACGTACTCCAGCCTCTTTCAAACTTCTTTAAACTTCAAATATGAACACCTTTACTATCTCCTCAACCTTCAGCAAAATCTCCTTGACCATCACTTAAATGAAGAAAAAATTTGCCTAAACACCTGTTAGGCACCTAAGCTTTCTATAATATTGACATTTACTATCAACTATTCTAATTGAAAAAAAAACCTTCTAGGCTCTAGGCATTGGGTCCAATGCCTAGACTTCATAGTGCTTTCTATAACCTTGTTAGTAATGTTACATTAAACGTTGGACGCTTCTAGGCGTCGGACTTGGCGCCCAGCGCTTAATCGTCTAAGCGGTTTTTGGACGTTTTTTTATTTTTTTATTTTTTTAATTGTGATACTTGAAGATAAATATATATATACTCAATTAAAGATACATAAATAATTAAAAATACCAACACTATTAACTAAATTGCTTAGTTTACCAATTACAATAGCTCTTTGTATGTTTATACTTCTCAACTCAAATTATAAGTTCATCTCAACAGTGAAAAACTCATTCTCAACTCAAATTACTGTTAACTTATAAGTTACTGTTAAGTTTAAGACTCAAATTACTGTTAACTTATAAGTTACTGTTAAGTTTAAGTTAACAATAAACTTAAACTTAAGTTTACCGTTAACTTAAGTTTACTGTTTACTTAGACTTAAGTTTACCATTAACAAAAAACTTAATATTAACTTAAACTTAAATTTAAACTTAAGTTTACTGTTAGCTTAAACTTAAGTTTAACTTAAACTTAAATTTAAACTTAAGTTTACTATTAACTTACACTTCTTAAGTTTAAGTTACTGTTAACTAACTTAAATAGATATTTAAGAAGTACTCTTTATCTTATTAGTAGTTATAGAGATCGGGGGAGCTCGGCAATGTTACAGAAGGCACTAGGCAGACTAGGCGTTTGAGCGAAC